ACAGTATGTTGACATTTATAAAAAGCTGCCAGACTGCTTTCTAAAATGTGTCTGATTTTCAGTTTTCCCCAATAACATATGAGTGTTTCAGATCTCTAACAGCACTCATGTATTGTCAAGTCTGGTTTTTATTTTGACTTTTAGAATAAGAAATTATTTGTTCAGCACAATTTTTATTATCATGTTTAATTGTCATATAATAACTGCACATATTTATGGCATAATGTGTGATTTTTCAATATGTAAACACAATGTGTAATGGTGAAACCAAGGCAGTCAACATGTTCACAATCTCACTTTTATCATTACATTATGTTCTGAACATTCAAATTCCTTCTTGCTATTTTGAAATAAGCATTGTCACCAACTATAGTTGCTCTACTGCGTTAGAGGACTCCAGAGCACACTTCACTTATCTATTCGCAATTTTGTATCTGTTAGCCAAGTTCTCCCTCTTCCTCCTCCCTCCCCTTTTCGGTTTCTGATATCCACCATTCCACTCTCCACTTGGATGCCATCAAATCTTTTAGCTTCCAAAATGAGAACATACAGTATTTGTTTATATGAGAACATATGGTATTTGTTTCTCAGTGTCGACTTATTTTACTTAGTATAATTTCCTGCAGGCTCATCCTTGGTTATGCTGAGTAATACTCCACTGTGTACCACATTTTCTTTATCCACCATCAGTGCTGGGTGCCTAAGTTGACTTCACATCTTGGTTATTGCAAACAGTGCTGCAATAAACAGGAACGCAGGCGGATCCACCACATATGGACTTCTTTTCCTTTGCAGTGGAGTTATAGGATTATAAAGCAGTTCCATTTTGAGGCTTGTTTGTTTTGTTTTTGTTTTTACTTTGCTAAAGGGTGTGTGTACTCACCAGAGACAGAGAGACAGAGAGAGAGAAAGAGAAATCACCCTCTCGCTCCAAGGGATGAGGGTGACACCACAATCCCTTTTCCATTCACTTAGTGGGCTTTTGGGCATGTGCATCCAGGCGCCCGGCATGTTTTGCAAGCTGCTGGATCTGGAACTCAAACTGCCCAGTTGACCATGTGGGATCCAGTCACCTTAGCCATCACGCTGCCAGCTGGCTCTGTAATTTTAAGGTTTTTTTATGGAACTGGCTCGTATCTTTTTTAAACCTTAGATATGGTAATAGATACATATTGATATTTTGTATTGTTTTTGTTTGTTTCTTCCGTGTTTTTAAGTTCATTTAGTTTTCCATGAGAAAGAGAAACAGGCAGAGAGACAAGTGCCCCCACAGGGTCCCCACTCCATGGCCCATTCTTAGCTTTGGCCAGCCCAGAACATGCGCCTGCACACGTGATTGACACATAGAGGATGCAGACCCCGGGACCTTCCCCCGTGGTCGCATTGCATCACCATTGTGCTACCCTATGGCCCTATTTTTTAACAATTTTTTTTTCCTTTTTATTTCTTCCATGAGTGAGAGAGACAGAGAAAGTCAGTGCCTGCAATCGGGCCTTGATGTTGCCATCTCCCCCAAGCAGGGCCCACCTTGGATCATGAGCACACGTGCTAACACATGTGCTTGGGACATCTCTGGACTTGAACCTGGAACCTTTCCACATAGCTCAGCCTCACAGAGCATTGCGTGCTATCACTCTGCCACTGCCCAGTCCCCTCATGGTAAACATCTTTTTATGTGCATATTTATTATTCAGGGATCTTCTTTGTTGACATGCTCAATACTTCGCCCACTTTTAATTGAATTATGTATTGTATTACTGAATTGTAAGAATTTGTTTTGTATTTTAGGTCTGAGTCCCTCATCCTATCCGTGTTTTGAAAATGCTCTCTCCCAGTCTGTGGCTTTATTTTTTATCATGCTTACTTGGAACGTCAAAAGTATTTCATTGCAATGTCAAACTTACCACTTTCTTTCCATGTGTCTTCTATGGGATCTCTGGTATCTCGGGGTCTTTTGTTTTCATTTTTCACTAGACATTTAATTATTTTATTTTATTTTATTTTTTGCCATAGGGCAAGTGCACTCACTGGAGGGAGACAGAGATAGAGAGGGGGGAAGTGAGAAATCGCTCCCCGGGGGGATGGTCATGCTGTAATTAATCCCTTTTCATTCATTCCCTTGTAGGATTTTGGACACTGCACACATGCTCCTGGCATGATTTTCAAGCTGCTAGGCCCAGGAATCAAACCACAGTTGACCATGTTGGAGTCCAGGTAGGGGTGGCCTTAGTAAGTGCCTACTGGCCTCTACTAAGCATTTTAAAGTTTTAACTCTTAGATTTAGGCTTTTCATTCATTGTGAGAAACGTTTTGCATAATGTTGCTGGAAACGACCACTGAGAAACCAAGTACCACTCAGAGAGTAGAACTCAGGTTTAAACGTTGGTCGGCCATCCCTGAAAAACTCGTACTCTAAAGTCTGGGCACCAATTTGCGGAAGTTACAAGGGTATATAGTCTGCATCATGGATGTTGCAGACCAAGAAAACCAGAAAAGTGGTAAAATAGTTGCAATCCAGCTTGTAACATTTCTTGGCAGGCAGTTCTCAAAGGTAGCATAGAAACACTTCCAGTTGTTTCAAGCACTACTATTGAATAATTTTGTTTCCTTTTGAATTACTTTGTCACTTGTTGAAAATCCAAGGACCTGTGCCTGGGCATACGTCTTGGTTCTAGTTGGTTTCATCGACATGTTTTCTGTTCCTATCTTCATGCCGCACGATCTTGCTATTTGCCGCTTTATATTCAATCTTGAAATCAGATGTGACTCTTCAGTCCAACAGAGAGTCGCCTGAGGCGCACAGGAAGGTACAACTGGAGACACAGAGATCTGAGACCTACCAGGGAGGTGCCTGCTAAGCTCTCTCATCCTCCATATTTAGCAGGCAAAAGACGAAGGAAAGTTAACTTTAGAGAAAGTTGCTTCTTAGAGGATTAAAAAGAGTAATTGCTGGAACAGGTTGATTTCAGTATTGCTAAATGGGGTATGGCCAAGCCAGAGGCTGGACAGAACACCTTGGAATTTGGAGAACACATTCATCAGATCACACACCCATCTAATGGCCTCATGTCATTTTCCAGCAAGAAGGCAAGAGACACTTAGGATTCAGTAATCAATTTTCCCTGAAGTCATTCGATCGGAGTTCATAAATCCAAGGTATTCTAGAAGCATGGTACTTCTGCTGTTCCCTAACAATCAGAGGATTTATACCTCTGACTTTATTGTCCCTCCCTTCAGAAATTTTTATTATTCTAGGTCATTTTTATATTCTTATACCTTTTAGAATGTTTGATTTTTTTTTTTAAAAAGCCTGTTACAATATTTATTCATACTGCATTGAATCTATTTGATGGGGTGTCAGAAGGTGATGCAGAGGTAAAATGTGACACACTGTGAAGCTGACCCATGAGAGGGTCCCAAGTTCAAGTCTGGAGACCTCCTTGAGCATGCCAGGGGCACATGGTGCAGGCGAGCCAGGGATGGATTGTGATGGGAAGCCTCTACTGAGGGCACTATCTCCCTGCTTCTCCCTCTATCACTCATGGAATAAGTAAATAAATATACTTTAAAAAATTAATAATCTGGGGACAGTTGGCATCTTTTGTTCTGTTTTGTTTTGGAGAGGTTTTATGCTACAGAGGCATGCACAGAGAGACAAAAAGTGAGAAATCACTTCCCAGGGGGGATGGCCACACCACAATCTTTTCTCCTCCATTCTCCTCTCGGGATCTTGGGCACACACACACGCGCCCGGTGTGAGTTTAAGCTTCCGGGTCTGGGACTCAACCCGCGGTTAACTATGTGGGAGTCCAATGACGTGGCCATTATGCCATCTGCTGGTCCCAACAGTTGACATCTTAATGACATTTCATCTTCATCATGAGTAATGTTTTTTCCTGCCTTTGTTCAGGCATTCTTTAATTGGTTCTCAGCAATGTTTTATAGCTAGTTTTACAGATATTGTTAACTATATTTCTAAGTATCAATACAAATGTATTACATATTTAATTTCAATGTTGTCTTCTTTTTTTTTTTGGAGAGGTTTTTGATATAGGGCGCATGCGCTCGCCAGACAGAGAGAGACAGAGAGACAGAAAGTGAGAAATCACCCCCCAGGGGGGATGGTCACACCACAATCCCTTCTCCTCCATTCTCCTCTCAGGATCTTGGGTACACACGCACACACGCCCGGCGTGAGTTTAAGTCACCGGGTCCGGGACGCGAACCACAGTCGACTACATGGGAGTCCAGCGACTTAGCCATTACGCTAACTGCTGGTCCCTTCAATGTTGTCTTTTGTTAGGAAGTAGAAACACAATTAATTTTTCCATATTGACCTTCTCTTGGGACTTTGCCAAACTATTCAGTTTCGTTATCTATTTTGGAGAGTTCCTGTTTTTGTTTTTTAGTTTTAGGATATTATATCTAGGCATTTATGGCATCTGAGAATAAAGGTCATTTTGATATTTTTTTCCGAGGGGCATTTCTTTTTCTAGCCTTACTGCACTATTTAAACCCACTGAAATTGTTGAGTAGTAGGGGCAGATCATCTAATACTACAATATCTCCAGTAATAGGAAAACACTGCCTTGCACCATAAAATACATAGTGTTTATAGGTGCAATTGATCAGCATGAGAAAATTCTCTATTTTTAGTGAGCTAATCTGGCTAGATATTTATGCATATTATTGATCTCTCCAAAACACACGGTATTATTTTATTTTCATTGATTTCTTTTCTGCCCTTATTGATTTGTTTTTACTTTATTTAACTTTAGTTCTAGTTGGGGTTTTTTCCTTTAATTTTCTTTCTTTTTTTTTTTTTTTTTTGGAAAGTTTTTTCTTATGGGGGGGGTGCCGCCCTTTTGCTATAGGGTGCGTGCGCTCGCCAGAAAGACAGAAACAGAGAGACAGAAAGGGAGAAATCATCCCCCAGGAGGGATGGCCACACTGCAATCTCTTCTCCTACACTCTCCTCTCAGGATCTTGGGCACACATGCACGCATACCCAGTGTGAGTTTAAGCCACCGGGTCTGGGACTCAAACCGCTGTCGGCTACATGGGAGCTCAGCAACATAGCCATTATCCCTTTTTCCCTTAATTTTCTACTGTTTCAATATGGAAACCTAGACTCAAGGCCTTTCTTCTTTTCCAATATTAGCATTTTACAATCTTATTCCACAATATAATGTCGTGTTTTCATTTCCATTTGATTCAAGATATTTCACAATTTTGTGATTTTGTTGTTTATCTAATGTATCAACTGGGAGCACATTTTTACCTTCTAAATATATGGCAATTTCCCAGATACCATGTGGGTTATTATTGGCTCCTACTTTATGTTGTTGTGGTCAGTGTATTACTTTTAAATTTCTTTATTTTTCAGGATGTATTTCATCTTCTCTCATGACCCAAGTATGATATGCCTTGAATTTTCTGTATGAACTTGAAAAAAAAATGCACTATGTTCTTGTTGAGTGAAGTGTTCTGTAAAGATTAAAGTTGCTTAATAGCATTGTTAAATCTTTTTGTTTTATAAATGACTAATTATTCTATTGGTTACTGAGAAAACATTGAAATGCCCAATGGTAATTGTGTGTTTGTCTACCTGGCCTTTCAATTCAGTTTTTCATGTATTGTAAAACTCTGTAAGAGCCAGCAGATGGCATAGTGGTTAGGTTTTATTTAATGAGAGTCAAAGAGACTGAGAATGACAAAAAAAAAAAAAAAAAACCAAGAATCGTCAACATGGTTATGATCTCCAAATCCTCCACCTCCAGCCTTTCAGCCAGCAAAGAACCCCAATATGCACGGGCCTGGTATGGACAGGACACCGGGAACTAACCTTGAGCTCCTGGGCCTGCACACATCTGGTACGGACAGGACACCGGGAACTAACCTTGAGCTCCCCTATAGCTTCCAGCATTGCAGGGTGCTGTACCACTGCTAAGCTGCTATGGCTGGGCTGTGTTCATGTGTGTGTGTTTGACAGGGTCTTGTTATGTTGCCTAGGTTGTTGGCCTCAAGCCTGGAATCCTCACACACACACATTTTTTTTTTTTTGTATATAGCATGCATATACTTACGTGCTTCTGAATGTGTAAACACAAGCTTCTATATATAAATAAATGCACCTGTGTAGGGGCTTATAATAAATGTGAAAATTAAAAGTATGCTATACATCAAATTGCAGAAGATGTGAGATTCTAAAGGGCAATCGTGAAAAATCTTACATAGATTTTCAAAAGAAATAAGATTCAAATCTGTTCAATGAATCTGGGACACTTTCTCCAACTTTTGAACTCTAAGTATGTTGAGAGTTGGTAGAGAACATGAAGAGTATGTGAAGACTTTTCTTCGGAGAGAGCTCTTGTCATTTTAATATTTTCCATGCCCAACCAATGATATTTTCTTTCTTGTCAGGGTTCAGCACTGAAAAATAAAAAAGGGGGGAAGGGTTTATTATCATTATTATTAGCTTTATTATTAATAAGGTTCTATTGAAAACGTCAGCACAGATGCATAGAAACATACCATGGCAGTACAAAAACAGTGGGCTTCCCTATCCTGCCCCTCAGAGTGAGGCAGATGACCTACAGAGCCATCGACAACACAGGAGAAGTCACTGGGAAGCAAAATGAGCTCCATGCAGGAACTGATCCCGAGTGTGATGGAGCAGTGAGTGAGCCAGGCCCAGTCCCTGATTTAAAACTACTAAGAAGATAAGTCGCCTTTTCTCCTGGGAATCTTTCGAGAAAAAAACCTCTTTTTATGAAAATGAAACAGAAAACTATACCTTCTGTTCTTTGATAGCACGTATATAAACACACGTGTACTGCTTGCTGCTTTTTAAAGTTGCATATATGCATACATTCATCTCCCCATTCTTCTACTCAGTCAACATTTACAGGGTGTCTAATTCAGCTTGCATACCTTTCTGGGTTCCTACACTGTATCTATGAAAGAAAAAAAAAAAAAAGGTCCTGCACTCATGGGGTTTCCAGTCTAGGAAGAGTAAACATTTTACTTTTGTAGTTACGTATTTTGTATTACATATTTACAAAATACTCTCGTGAGAGATTGTATTCTTAAACATGTTTAAAAACTAAAACTAATAAATCATATGGTATTCAGAATAGAATTTTTTTTGAGAGGTTTTTGCTGTAAGGACGCATGGGCTCACCAGACAGAGACAGAGAGACAGAAAGCGAGAAATCACCCCCCCAGGAGGGATGGTCACGCCGCAATCCCTTCTCCTCCATTATCCTCTCGGGATCTTGGGCACGCATCCACACGTGCCCGGCGTGAATTTAAGCCACCGGTTCTGGGACTCGAACCAACCGCAGTCGACTATGTGGGAGTCCAACGACATAGCCATTACACTAACTGCTGGTCCCAGAATAGAATATGTTTTATGGAGGACGAAGGGAACAGAGCTCAGGTTAAAGTGTGGAGTAATGCTGAGGTGTAGGTGTGTTGCCTATAATTTTGTTTGTTTGCTTTTTAGGCTTTTAACATCAGGTGCATTTTCTTGGAGAGAGACAAAGATAGAGAGGGAAAGTGAGAGAGAGAAAGCACCCCCTGGGAGGATACCCAGACCGCAATCCCTCCTCCTTCATTCTCCTTTTGGGATTCTGAGCACGCACACACATGCCCAACATGACTCTCAAGCTGTGAATTCGGGACTTGAACAGTGACTGGCCGTGTGGGAGTCTAGCGCCTTAAC